TTCAGAATTCATCGAAAACCTGACTGTTAGAATATTCTGGCAGAATAGAGAAGCAAAAGTACAAAATGAACAGGTTTATTGAGTTGAGGATGTGGAAAGGAGCACGTGACCCATGGCGGCTGGGCTGTTTCCTTCAACCAGATCTAGAGAGCCAGAGAGTTACATGACATCTGACTGAAGTGGCCCATGGGGCAGATATTGATGATGTGTGAGGAACCAATTAGAATTCTCCTTGTGTGTAACCAGGAAGAGGAGCTGCATTTAGGACAGAAGAAGAAGCAGGAAGTGATAGGCATTTCTGCTTTTGCCTTCTGCCACATTAGACCACTGCCATAACTGTACAGAAATCTGTACTAGGGGAAAACTCTTTCACTGATGATAGAGATGTGGCTCTTGAGGGATAGACTGTAACCAGTGCCACCACAGTTACCTATGGCCCCCATTCACTCCAGAGTCTTTCCTGGAGGCTGATGGACCCAGCTCCAGTCATAACCACTGGTTGTGATGGAGAATCCATAGATCTTGCAGGTGAGAGACAGGGTCTGCAAGGGCTTCACCAGGCCAGGTCCTGACTCCTGTGGCTGCACCTGGGACAGGACACCTGGAAACATGAGGAACATTCCTATCACTTACCTGCTTTCCTAATCTTTCCATGGACCCATGTCTGACATTGAGGATAGTCACCATGCGACCTGCCACCAGGCACAGGAGAAGACTCAGAAATTTCATATTCTAGGCCACACTTTTGCCTTCTCCAGAGATCTTAGGGGTATCTGAGGAAGGAGCTATGGGCTCCTTCAGCCCAGGAGGGAAGTTTGAGTCTAGATTTGGGAGACAAATTTGCATGAGAGTGGCCCCTTTACTTTAGGATGGTGAGACACAGGCCAGGATGTCTATGGTCCTTATCCTGCAGAGAATAATCTCTTCCCCTGCACTCAAGTGGTGTTCATGTCTGTGTTAGGCTGGAAGCTGCCTTCCTTGGAGTGGAGGAAGCATGGCCATGAGCCCTCCTTCCTATTCCCACTCCAGCGTCCTCCAGTCCTGCTCCCTTCCTGTTCTAACTCTGCACTCCCACACAGGCTCTGGTGCTGCTTCCACAGGATGAAGCAAGCACAGCCCCCTCCTCCTCTCCCTGATCTCTCCCTTCTGGTGCCATCTGTGCTGCTGTAGATGTTGCTTCACTACCATTAACGTGGTCAGGAGAGGTCCTCCTGCCTCCTGCTTTGAGATGTGCTGTGATCCATGTCCCACTGACCAGAGCCTGCAGAGCCTGGAGATGAGGATGTGGGTCCTGTGCCTCCCTGATAGAGAAGCCTCACTGGAGGAAGGAAGGAGGTTGTCTGTACTAAGTAGCCCTTCCCTAACTGACCTAGTGTAGGTGCTGGGCGGCATGTTCTTACTAGGTTCTCCTCCTTTTGTTTCCTGGAGGTGATTCCTAAATTCTAAATGCTTACTTAATTACAGTTCTCCCTTTGTGATCAGTTATTCATTATGAACACTATGCTCCTGAAGACAATGTCCTAAAATTAAACCTTCCCTCTTTCTTTCCAATCTTTTTCAGCCAGATGTGGGCATTTCTTGTTCACTATTGGTGCAGTGGGCATTCAGTGAAATATTTTCCAGTACAGTGTAGCAAGAACTCTCATGATGTTTTGCTACCCAGTTCCATAGCACATGCTGTACAGATTCATTAAGATCACCACAAACAAATGAAATCTATGAATTCCATTATTAAAATCTCTTTCAAGAATTCTTCTCTGAGCTGACATCCTTATCAAGGTGTCTATGAGTCAGGAAAGTGGGGCTGAGGATTCCTGAGTGAATCATGATGGAGAGCAGAGGCCAGCTCCATCACTGGGAGATGCTGAGGATGGGGACTGCATCTTATGATCTCCAATGTGAAGAGAGGCAAAGGCTGGAAGCAGGGGTCACTCTGGATGTGACCTCTTCAGCAGGGAGGCACAGTGTTCAGCATCATCACCACTGCCATGAGGACTACTTGTCAACTTTGGAAAAGGAAAAGCCCCATTGGAATCCTCACCTGTGATCCACAAGACCCCAGGCTATTGTGTCACAGCTGTGACTGGGATGTGTCCCTGGCTTCAGTGCACTGTCCACTCAATACATTGACTGGACTGTATCCATGTCTTCTGAAGTTCTTATTTCTCCATGTCATTTCCTGGAGAGAGACTGAAATATAGCATATTGTACTCTGTACAATTATTATTTATTCATTAGTACAGATTTGCAGGATATAATGATTGCATTCCTCATGGTCAGTTAGATAATACAAGGTGCTTTTCTACCTTTTTCCTCCCCCTCCCCAAATCTAGTCACAATCATGTGGCCTGAACGCAGGTAACAGTCGAGTCCACATTAGTAAGGAGAAATAGATTTGCAGGTTTTATATGGACCCTCAGGGTAGGCTCTGGACAAGGGTTTGAGCTGTTCTGAGTCTGAGCAAGAGAGCACTGACCCTGACATCCAGGAGTAGACACATCTGTTACTCTCTGGATGGGCAATGGTTCTGATCTTTGATACCACATCCCTCTACCTCCCTGCTCTGAGGTCATACACCCACGGTTCTGATCTCTGTTCTGAATTACACGACTTTGATGGATTTGTAGGAAGACTGACATGTATTCCACAGAGAGAAGAAGAAAGGTTCAGTTATGCCTAAGCTCTTGTGGTGGGGAGGATGTCACAGGCTCTACTAAATCCTTGGAAGGTCAGTGAGGATTTGGTCACTAGAGTTAGGAATGTGCATGTTTCCTTTGTGGGTTTTGTTATTGGCAAGTGTTGCCTGTACTCTACATCGTGTTACAGTTCTGGTGGGAAGATCCAACAATTAACCAATACTGACACATGAAGAGGAAGAAGAAAACACCTGGAATGTGTCAGTGAGGAGGAAGTTGATAATCAGGGACTAAGACGGTGATGGATTTCACGCTTAGGACGTGAGGATGGTTCACTGATGGATTTTCCTGTATGATGAGATGATAGTATAAACTAAGGGTGAGAGGTGAACTTTGTGAAACACATCTGAGAAGAAATGAGGCTCTTCATAACTATCAGGTCAAGAATTCGGAGACACAGTGACACAGAGGAGCAGCGGTATAGCTGAATAAAGCTCAGCTGAGATGCGTGGTGACATGAACACCCAGGAGTTCCATGTTCTTCCTGGTTTCATTCACTACTTTCTTTGACACACAAGTTACAACATTAATTCTAAATCGAACTCTTACTTGAGGTGGGTTTCCAAGGTCTCAATTTGAAAATGATATCTACACAATCATGACTAAACTCTGAACAACAAAGACAAATGAAATGGAAGGGAACTCATAAAATATTTCAGATTTTCAGTGATCTGAAGGAAGCTGTAATTCAGAAGGTGCAATGGAGAGGATCAGACTCCATCTCAGGCAAGGGCATATTCCCAAGATGTCCCTACCCTGAGGGAAAATAACAGAAGCCCTTGAGACATCACATCAAGTACATGAATTTTCAGTCCTTAGACAAGGGACACATTAGTGGGGATGCTGGACTAGGTAAAGAGCAGAGCAGGAGGTGGAGGTGTGTTAGCCTCTGCGGTTGAGTGTGAGGGTGAGGTCCTTGGTCGCATCTGAGAGATGGGGACTGTGTGTGAGAATTTCAGCTCTTCTCTGCCTTCAGGAGCCATGGATGTGCATGCAAGTGATTTCGTGCTCTTCACTATGTTACGGGTCACAGGAAACTGTAACAATAAGTGTGATATTAGTAACCATGAGGTATATTTGGTTGTTTTAGAAAAATTTACAAATACATGTGTGACTGTTAAATACAGAAATTATTGAAATAAAATAAAATACATCATGGTAGAATCACACGAATCCACTTAGGAAAAACCATGCCCATTGGGAGAATAGAGATTTTCACCTCATTTATTTTCCATTGTTTTCCCAATAGACTGAAAACTGAGAAATGAGTAAAAAAGAGACAACACTTACAGGAGAATGGAGAAGCCGTGAGCAGCAGAGGAAGATCCTCTGCTTCTCATCTGCTGTCCATACTCGGGGCTACAGCAACATGAGGGAGAGCAGGATGACAGAGGTGGGGCCCACAGACACGGGAAGGGTCGGACCCTTGGGTTGAAATCCAGAGAATTCAGGAACCCAGCAAGAATAAGAGAGCCGGGTTGGTGGTGTGGTTGGATGAGGAAAATAGCACGAAGCATTGTAGTCGCCACACCATATGTGTTGGCAAGGCCCTGTCAGGTGGGGAGAAGCAGCAAGGTAGCTGTGCAGCCTCCCCCTTCTCCCACCAGTAACACACACACACATAAGCAATGGGACGGAGTGCAGGCTAAGATGTTACTAACTAAATTAAGGCAGCAACATTTAAATTATTTGATCAACTTTGCAAGCCTGGGACAGGGAGCCTGAGCAACTAATTAGAGGATGAGATTATCTAATACAGTAACAACAGTGAATTGCCCAGTGTCCTAACACTGTTTTATTTTGTTTCACTTTAATGTTCTATTTTTCTTTTTTAAAATAAAATTAAAAAAAAAAACCAAAAAGTTAAGAGAGAGAGAGAGAAATGGAGATTTAGAGGATGGTTTTGTTGTATTTTATACATTTTTTAATTTGTAAGGTGCAAAAGAGAGGCACAGGACCAAGTCCTACTCAGCCCTCTTGTCTAGAAAGAGCACATCTAGGTCCACAGACACTGCCCTGAGTCCAGTCAGGCTGCCCCTCTCCCTCCTCCCCTGAGCTCAGGGTTCCTCATGGTGCTGGGGCTGAGCCTGGGGACCAGGTCTCCTGAGGTGACCAAAGAGGGGAGGGAGCTGTGTGATCTGAGACCCCACAGAGAGAGATGAGAAGGATTTAATTTCCTAATCTGAAGCATTTATTACTGCGTGAGACAGTTCCTCATCACCCTACCTAAACCAGCAGACCCACTTTAGATGGTGAGGATTTGACACTGAAAACAAAATTAACTTCACAAAATGCACAAGTTACTTTGAGATGGGTGCAAGTTTTGTTTACCCATAAGTACAATTCATACACAGGAAATGAAAAAAATCAGTGTTTCTTATGTACTCATGCAATTACATTTAACAGAGAATTTTTCCTTGAACTTTGGTACTTCAATGTGGGTTGGTTCAGGACCTAAAATGTTAAAACAGAAGAGAACCTCAGAATCCCCAGGAAGAGCTCCCTCCCCTGCTTTCTTCTCAGCTCCTGCTTCTGGGCCCTGCACATGATTTTGTCATCTTACACCGACTTCTGCTGGGCATAAGCGCTGCTTCCAGGAGGTTTTGTCTGGGCTCACACTAATGTTCCTTCACTGTGTGTCATGGACAGTAATACAGGGCTGTGTTCTCCCGTTTCAGGCTGCTCATCTACGGATACAGCATGTTCTTGCCGTTGTCTCTGGAGATGATGGATCAGCCCTTCACAGAGTATGCATAGTATGTGCTACCACGAGTACCTATGTATGAGATCCACTGTAGCCCCTTCCCTGGAGCCTTTGGATCCAGCTTATGGCACAGCTTCTGACAGTGAATCCTGAAGTCATGCAGGAGAGTTTCAGGGATGCCCCAGGCTGCACCAAGCATCTCCCAGGCTCCACCAGCTGCTTGTCAGTCTGGACACCTGCAAACACAGGAACATTCTTTTGCTCTACAAAATAAAGTTTAAAGCCAACCTAAGATGCAGAATGAAACCCTGTCTCAAAAAGACACAAGAATAGATAAATAAATAAAATTTAAGAGTCAAACGAAAGAAAATACAAGTTATCTAACGTTTCTCTAAAATCCCATTTTCTTTTTAACAGTGCATGCTGAGGAAATGGGTGAGAGAGCCTGAGTTCAAAGTAGTTGTTTTAAATCCACAGAGCCCTCGGTGATAGGTGGTCACTAAACAGCTGAATATTTCCCGGGCTCTGCTTATTCATAATTAGCCCTGGCTATGGGGCAACTCACTTGGGACACTTCCAGAATCAGCGCGCTATTATTCTTCCTACTTCCAATAAACTCTCTGCTAACATTTTTCCTTTGGTTGCAACCTCATTCTTCAATGCTGTGAGACCAAAAACCTTGTTCCTTCAGTAACATCACTGCAAGTGGAGGAATCACGTGAAAAACTACAGTGATGGTTTGCCCAAATCTCTTGCTCCCTGCCCAGTGGTGCAGACACAGCTGCGCCAGGGCCAACCAAGACATCCTAGGTTAGCAGTGTGCGAGCTAGCACTGTGCACTGGGGACCCAGCACTGTCCCTGCCCGAGCAAAGGAGGAAGTGTTAAGAATGACGACGTAGCACCAAGGACCAGGGAGACCTCGGCGTCTGGAGCTGAGCAGGGAGGCTGTGCACTGCCACAGCTGTTTCCGACCACTTCCCTCCAGAACACACCTGATTTCGTCCCATCCCCGGCTCCCGTCCTACAACGTCACCATTGTGTGGCTTGAGGGTCTCTCGGGAGCCTTCGAATGCAGCGCGCAACCAGGCGATAGTACACAAAACCCGGTCTAGCCAGCAGGGACTCTCAGCAACACCAATGAAGCCCACTGTACGCCATGACACAGGAAGTGCCCGTCCCCTCGGCCCACCTGATTGGGTAGCTCATCCAGGCGCCGCCTTCCTTGCTGATTGGCTCCTGCTCTATTGTCTGACAGCTGAGCTGCCAGAGAAGCAATTCTCTTCTGGACTATGCTCTCCTGTGTAACTGTCATCTCCCCTGACCATATTAGCATTTAAGGGCTTTACTCCTGGCTTTTCAAAGCTTCCCTGGTTTTCTTAATGGACGCGGCGAATTCTTCCGGCAAATTGGTCGTAAACGCTCTCAGAAGATTCCAGAGTCGCTGTCCTATAGAATAATCACTCCCTCATTGCAATAATTTAGATTCCCTCCAATGATGCACTAGGGTTTCATTTCTTCAACATACTTTATTACACTTGCTATTATTCATCTTGTTATTAGTTTAATTATTCGTTGAAATAAACACGTCTAGTCAACTACTGTCTTACGCTGTAAAAATAAATTGCACAGGTGTGGATGGGTCTGTTTCTAGTTATGGGAGAGTAGTGAAGGTATTCTACACATGGTATTAGAGTCAGTGGTTCTTGGTTTACTTTGTCAAGATCATTTTCTTAGATGAAGGAGACGTATTTGATATATTGATACGAAAATTTCAAAAGATGAAGTTCTGTGGTGGATGCACCTTCAGTTCCTGTCAAATATTTCCTGGCAGCTCTTTCTGATGTCCTGCTCTCCGTGCCTTGGATACCACTGGTCTCCTAGCTCCCTTCCTGAGGGACCAGGGCACACATGGGTGGACACTGGTGAGTCCATGGGAGATTTTGTAGGAAGGTCTTGTCTTTCATTCTAAGAAAGTAGATTTAAAAAAACAGATTGGAGAATAAAAACTAGGTGAAAAATACATTATTTAAAAAGATAATTAAATGAGCTCTGAGTTTGATTTATGCAGTTATACAGCACAAGGAATGTAAGATGTAAGTTTTCCAAAGTTTTATCCATTATTAATCTCGGGTTATCTCTCTTCTGCCTCTAATCTAAATACCAAAACTGGTGGTGAAAGAGAACATCAACAAGGTCCTTTTCAATGGAAAAAAGTTTGAATTACTGCCTGTGTGTCCTCAAGTTCCAGTCCTGTGATCACAGAAGACTGATTTGTACCTTCAACAAATACACTTGAACATTTGTACAGATGAGAATATATCTTACTATTGAGTTAAATTTTTACTTCAGGAGCATGAAAGATAAGCACAGACTCATGAATGCAGAATCTCCCGGGAAATACGTCACGTGGACCAAAGCCTCACATCTCCACAGGAAATAATTCTGCTCCATCCTGTGCTCCTGCCCTGCTAGGTGCTGAACTCCGTGTGTCCTGTGCGCCCCCTGCTGGTCCAGAGTACCACAGCAGGGAGGTTTGTGTCAGGGCTCACATTGATGTCCTCTCACTGTGTCTCCTGCACAGTAGTAAACAGCGGTGTCCTCGGGTTTCAGTTTGGTCATTTGAAGATACAGTGTGCTTTTGGAGTCATCCCTGGAGAGGGTGAATCTGCCTTTCACGGATGCAGCGTACTCCGTAGTGTGACTCTTAGCCGCGTTTCTGATTAAACCAACCCACTCTAGGCCCTTTCCTGGAGCCTGGCAGATCCAGTGCATGTAGTAATTGCTAAAGGTGAATCCCGAGGTCACGCAGGAGAGTCTCAGGGACCCCTCAGGTTGCACCAAGCCTCCCCCAGACTCCACCAGCTGCACCTCAGCCTGGACACCTGCAAACACAGAGACATCTTGCTCAGGAAACTGTCACATATGTCTACCATTTATCCCACTCTCTCCCACTAAATATCTCTTGTTCTTCACTGATTACCTTTTAAAACAGCAACAAGGAAAACCCATCTCAGCGCAAGCTCCATTGTGGGCTGTCTGTGCTCAGTCCCGATCCCCGAAAGGAAACACCTGGGACTCCAGGGCTGGGCTCCTCTGCAGAGCTGCAGAGTGAGGGCTGGGCTCCTTTACATTAGGACAGGGAGGCCCTATTTGCATGGCCTCCTGCTATATAGAGAGCTCTGAGGCCGGGAAGTAGAAATCTTCAGTAGCAGATTACATGTAAGTCTGCGGATCAAGTTTGGTGAAAATAATATCATTATGTAAAACAAGAATTTCATGTAATTTTTATGACACTCAAGTCTAATTCATAGCCTTAATTCATTTTTACACATTTAAATACATTATACAGGTGTCAGTTTTTGCTCCATTGTACAAATGTTGAATTCATTACAGAAACACAAGTGAGTGATTCAGTGTGACCAAGTGTTGATACATGGTGTGAGAAGTCCAGGGGAACCAGGTCCTCCCTTGTGATCTGCAGAATAGAGCTGGGCATGTGCAGTGAGATTCACAGAGCCTCTTTCCTGTAGTTAAAATTTGCTCCTATTTCTCTACCTGTAGACTTAATCTGTGCTTCAGGGATGCATCCCCCTGTGCACATCCAGGTCAAGCAGCATTGAGGAAGGCTGTAGGTTGCCTGGGAGGCAGCCTTGATTCAGATCAGGTGAAGCAGGTATGTGCAAATGTATCAAACACCAACCTAAGGATTTAACTAGTTCTATTAGCATGAGAGAGCAGATGCACCAATGAAAACTGCCCCTGGAGAGGCGGTGGCGGTCCTACCAAGACCAAGATCAGTGCCAGGCCTGGGACAGTGACTTTTCCAGATTTCTCAGAACAAAGGAGCAGTTCCCCTGCTAGCAGATGGACAGAGGGCAACAGTTGAAATGGCAAATCCCTGAAGGAAGTGTGATGTGGGTTCACTATCCCATAAGACATTTTCAGATTCCAGCAGAGCATGTCCTGAAGCTACAGCTGTTAGCTAAAGCTATCATGGCTTCAGATGGATCAGTCCATGGTAAATAGGGGCCAGTGGCAGAAAAATAGAAGAGACAAAGGAGTTCTTCATAAAGCACAAGCACTTGGTTGAAAAAAGAATATGTAATCTATTTTTATGAGGGCATGCTGCCTGCTATGAGTTTTAATGGGAAAATTACTTTGGAAGAAAAGCACAAAATTTCTAGGGCCCCAGATGGAAATGTGGTTTTTTTTCAGGCTTTTGCAGCCCAGAATGTGGTGGAGGATGTCGAACAAAAAGGCACCTGGTGCACTTGCATCTGCTATGTGGATGATGTATTGGTTAAAGTGAAGCCAATGGTTATTGAATTCCACGTTGAGAAAGGGCAGACTGTGGAGCAAAGGTGATAGAGGAGAGAACACTACAGAACCAGGTGGAGTGGTTCGTGCGGTGAATGGTGAATAATGGGTGGTAGAATACAGCAAAATTTCCCTGGCAACATCTCAGGTACGGAGCTCAGATGGACAAGTGCTGTTCTGTGTGGGCTGCATCACCAATCACATCTCATTGTCCCATGTCTGAGAGATGCTGTTGGTGTTGATGAACCTCAGCTTCAGCGCCATCTGGCTCACAGGAAGATTCCATCTGTGAAGTACTGGGGTGAGTTAATTATGCCAGACAAGTCATGTGGAATGAATTGCCAAAAGTAGCTTCTGACATCTTCCAGGTTGCAGAGAAGCTTGCGGTGTATGAAGGTTTATTGGAGGATGGATTTTCCCTGCTAAAGGATGCAGACAGTCACAGTGGGAAGGACAACCCAAGTGCTTTGTTGCCCTACACCACTGCTGGGTATGCAGTGCTCACAGGTGGAAATGGTTCTCCCCTTCCAGCGATTCCCCACTTGAATGATGCCAGTGATGCACAGATCCAATGTGAAACCTCTCCTCTTATTTCCTATGCTGGAGAAGAACTGGAAAGTGATGTGGCAGGTAAGGAATTCCATACAGCTTTAATCACTGATGGTGATGGAATCCATGAGCTGATAAAGAATGGCTTACGAGTCACTTACCACGTTCTGACACAACAGGTCACAGCTTTTGATTATTAATAGACCAACTGGGAACCTACAGGACCTGTCCCAGCAGACTAGAGGGAAAACAGTCACAAGGTATTATGCTGCTTGATGAACTCTTGTATCTACTGCAGACACCCAAGGTCCAGATGACTGAGCTTCTGACAGCATTTTCATGGTTCTCAGCTCCCTGAGAGTTTGATTTATGTTTTTTATTGTCTGATTTATTTCCAAGTCAAGGAAAACATTGGCCATCAAGGAAATTTCTTATAGCTTCCATCAAGCTTAGTGAGGACGTTCAAGAACACTTTCCTTGGAAGTGGAAGCCTTTGTTTTGAAATTGTACATAGTAACAATATATTATTGTACTACTTAGAAGGTACTTATGGTAAAAACAGTTCGTTTTATTTTATCAAGCATTAAACTTTCTTTTTCTTCTTCTTCTTCTTGTTTTTTTTTTTTTTTTTTGGCTTTTTCGTTTTTACCAGTACCAGGGATCGAACTCGAGACTGCCTGCTTTCGAGGCAGGTGCCTATGCCGCTGAGCTAAATCCCCAGCCCCATATTAAACTTTCTTAAGAAAATAATTGGACAACAAAATAAACACCTTAAAAAAACTAAGGGGACTGCAGTCAGGTGAGTTGTAATCAATAGTCTTTAAAAAAATTAGTGTGCAACAGACTGTGATATAAAAATTTGAAAAGAAAAAAGAAAGAAACCTCATTCCATGTAAGCATGACACTGCCTCACCAGGGATATAGGAGACTTTTGGGAGCTCTGTGCCTGGGACCACTGAAGGGCATGCAAATCAAACGAAGGGAAAAACCTCTCAACTTTTTCTCCTTATTTGCTGGGAAGGTGCTTCCTTACATCAATGTGTTCTGCATGCCCCCTGCTGTTCCTTGTTTTCCCTGCAGGGAGGTTTATGTCAGGGCTCATGTTTGCATCAAAGCACTGTGTCTCTTGCACAGTAATAGGTGGCTGTGTCTTCCTTGGTGACAGAGTTCAGCTGCAGGGAGAACTGGTTTTTTGCCTGTGTCTCTGGAAATATAGATGCGGCTCTTGAAGGAAGGGCTGTAATCAGTGCCACCACTGATACTTATGTACCCCATCCACTCCAGGCTCTTTCCTGGAGGCTGATGGATCCAGCTCCAGTGATAACCTCTGGTTGTGATGGAGAACCCAGAGACTGAGCAGGTGATTGACAGGATCTTTGAGGGATTCACCAGGCTAGGCCCTTACTCCTGAAGCTGCACCTGAGACAGGACACCTGGAAGCAAGGGTAAAATTCCTATCAGCCACCTGATTTTCTAATCTTCCCATTGACCCATGTCTGACACTGAGCACACTCACCATGTGGACCTGTCACAGGCACAGGGGAAGACCCAGAAGTTTCATATTCTAGGCCACACCTCTACTTTCTGCAGAGATTTTAGAGGTGTCTGAGGAAGGAGCTGTCCATTCCACCAGTTCAAGAGGGGAATTTGAGTCTAGATTTGGGAGACAAATTTGCATTAGGGAGGCTCCTTTTCTTTATGATGGTAACGTACAGGTCAGGATGTCTCTGGTCCTTGTGATGCAGAAAGGAATCTCCTCCCCTGCACTCATGTGGTGTCCACATCTGTGAGAGGTGGGAAGCTGCCTTCCCTGCAGTGGTGGAAGCATGGCCATGACCCCTCCTTCCTAATCCTACACCAGCTTCCTTCAGTCCTGCTCCCTTTTTGTTTCCATACTGACTGTGCCCTCGTACAGGAGCTCTGGTGCTGCTTCCACAGGATGAAGACGAGCATAACTCCCTCCACCTTTCCCCGACCTCTCGCCTCTGTTGTGGTCTGTGTTGCTGGAGAGCTCACTTCACCACCATTAACTTTGTCAGGAGAGGTCTTCCTGCCTCCTGCTCTGAGACACCAGGTCTCACTGATCAGAGCCCACAGAGACTTGAGATGAGGATGTGTGTCCTGTGCCTTCCTCACAGAGAGCCTCACTGGGGGAGGGAAGGAGGTTATCTGTGCTAAGTGTCCCTTCCCTACCTGATCTTGTGTAGGTGCTGGCTATCTTTTCCTTTCTAGCTTCCCCTTCATCTCTTGTTTAGTGATTCCTAAATTCCAAATGCTTATCTAATTACAGTTGTCCCTTTTTGAACAATTATCCAGTAGAAACACTATGCTCATCATGACAATGTACCTAAAATTAAAACTTACCTCTGACTTTCCAATCTTTTTCAGCCAGAAGCCTGCAGTACTTGGTCACTGTTGGTACACTGGGGATTCGGTGAAATGTTTTCCAGTGCAGTGCAGCAAGCACTCTACTGATTTCTTGCCACTCAGTTCCATAGCAAACAGTTTATAAATTTTCTAAGGTTACCACAAAGAGATGGAATCTACCAATGTCATTAATTAGATCTCCCAAATTTATTCCTGTGTGACCTCACATCCTTATCAATTCATCTGTGAGTCAGGAAAGTGGGGCTGAGGATTCCTGAGTGAGTCATGATGGAGATGTGAGCCCAGCTCCATCCCACCTAACTGGGAGACCCTGAGCATGGGGACTGTGCATTCTGACCTCCAGTGTGCAGAGGAGCAGATTCTGGATGAAGGGGTCACTCTGTGTGTCGGACCTCTTCAGCAGGGAGACACAAATGTCCAACATCATCACCACTGCCTTGAGTACTATTTGTCTACTTTGGAAAAGGAAAAGCCCCATGGAAATCTTACCTGTGATCTACAAGACACTTGGTCTGCTGTGCTATTATGTAAAACCTGTGACTGGGATGGGACCCTGCCCTTCAGTGCACTGTCCTTTCAATGCATTGACTGATCTCTATCCATGTCCTCTGAAAATCTTATTTCATCATGTCACTCCCTGGATAGAGACCTCAATCTAGCTTATACACTCTGTTTACATTTATCATTTTTAAAGATATTTTTCATTAGTACATATTTTCAGGATATAATGATTATATTCATCAGGGTTAGTTAGGCAATACAGTATGCTTTTTACCCTTTTTATCTCCTTCCCCAAATCTACTCAATTCAGGTAGCCTGCATGCAGGTAACAGTCCAGTCAAT